GAGACCAGTATGGGTCGGCGGAGGGTGGGGCCGCCGAAAAATCGAAGAAAGGCGCGGAATGCATAAAAATGTGATTCGGCCTGCTGGACAAAACCGGAGCACGTTCTCGTTACGAAATTAAAACAAAATATTATATTCTCTCTAGCATAACTACACATTATCTCACATCACACCCACACACCTGCACACCCACGCGATAAAGTTTTAGGTATACCTAAATTCTATATTCTCAGTGTGATCTCATAAAACGCGTTTCACATAATATACTCGGCCCAATTATGTCGGTCAAAATGCGTTTTCCAAGTAAATACTGTTTACTTAACTATCGTTTTTTGCCCACACTCAGGCACTCAGCCGGTTATAATATTATATTATAACAGATTACCATTTTAGTAAGTAATGAATAATTTTGAAAAAAAATATTGAATTTTTGAGGTAACATAAATGTTTGGTTATGTTACACTCGTAACTTATATTATTTAATATTTAACACATAAATCATTTGGAATATAATAATTGTATTAAATTATTCATAGTATAACAACTGGGTGTTGGACTGCTCGTAAAGTGTGATTTTTTTTTGTTTCTAGCTATTAACAATTGTAGACTCATGATGAAAATCAATCCATCGTCACGTTTGGCACAAACTATATCTTAATATCTTATATAGTTATATGATACCAGATATTAAATATTTAGAGCCCGGGGCCAAACGCAGTAAAGTAAGCAAATCGTCAACAAAATAAATTAACAAACGGGCGTATAGACAAATGTAAACCCGGTTTAATAGTGGGCTTAAACTGTAGTCTGTAGTCTGTAATACAATTTTATACCTCGTAATTGGGAGGATTAACGCTATATTATGGTTGTATTAATACAATTAATATAATTTTATCAAGAAATAAGTCTAAATAAGGGTTTTGATTTTGAATTTTAAATTGTAATACAAATATAAACCTATAATCTATGTTTGGACACTGTTGAATGTTTATGGATTGTTTGGGAATTTGGAAGTGGGTAAATATTTTTTTTTTTTTCAAACAATTTGACTTTTTTTCTTTTTAATTTTTTTAGTAAAGCCACAGTGGCGTCATTATTTTTTTACTCGATTGTCGACTTTCTTGATTAATATTGCAAGTACACGAGTCTCAAGTCGTTCAAAAAGAAAAAAAAAGAAAAAAGAGCTCCATTACACGGTTCACGGTTGTGGGTGGCAAACACTCGAACTCCATAATATTATATAATACGGGTATACATTATAAAAATGATCACACAATATAAAACACAATAATATTCGGTCCATTAGCCGGTATAGTACGGTTAAATTATTATTGTTATCATCTTCTCGTACTATATTATACATCGGAAGGAAGAGGGAAAAACATACATATTTATAAGCAAATAGTAGGAACGTTTATATACATGCATGTGATGCTCCTATTAACCTATTATATAAGAACGTATAATATAAAAGCCCGTAATATATAATATATATTAATAACGTTTTTGGTTAGGATCGTGTAGGGGGAGGGTGTTTTTATTTGTGTTTATAAATCAGCGTCTGTTCGGTAGTTGAGTTGATTTTTTTTCGGTAGGGATGTGGTGTAGACACGTTTATTGACTGAGTTAAAAAAAAATCCCCCTATTTACGATAATATACTAAAATGTGAAATTATATTGTGCCGCGGGTGAATATATATACCTAACCATTGTTATTAATCAGTCGCCGAAATGCATTATTACATATAACGGGCAATGCACATTTGGACCAGCCGGAAATAAACATATTATTATTGTAAAAATGCAACCAGGATAGATCAATTATTTTTTACATTAAAATAATCTTTTTCATAATGTTTTTAATTTATAATATTTAATTACTACTTGATAATTTTATTTTAAAATATCACTGTTACGCTTAGTTTAATTGATATTATATACTAAATATAAAATTGTGAATCATTAATTAATTTCTTTAAAATTGATATATGAAGCAACAAAAGACTTGCTCATATCTCGATCTCTAATACTCTATTAAAGTATAGAGTTTATTTTTATTCAAATCAAACTGTAACATGCAAAAAAAGTACTGTTATGACTATAATCGGGGTATTTTTATCTTTTTCACCGCCAAAAATGTGCACTTTATCCAATTATATTGTTGTCGGCTGGTATATTACCTACGCGATCTATGATTTTCTTGGATTTTCTTAACTCAAAAACAATCAATTATAAATTATAATTAACTGCCCCAGACGCATATCAAATCGTTGATATTTCTACAAAGAGCCTGTGAATAATTTAGACAAGTTGAATGATACCGGAAACTGACACGGGAAACGGCCTTTGCGTTTCATCGGACTGGAGATAAATAATTTTGAAATTTGTTGCATACTTTACCAACTATATACGTGCCGCGTACGTGGAATTATGAAGAGGATCGTTCAATACTATAATGTAATGGTTATAGTTCAACAAAATGCACTGCAGTGCACATTATTATAACGAATTCGTGAGTCGTAAATCGATCGGCAGCGAGACGAATCGAGGGAAAATGGACTGTTGTGGTAAGACTGATAACCAAAGAAAAATATCGTGGAAACTTATCGTTCATATCGAGCATACACTATTGTGCAATGGTATCGTCGCGGCTGAATTTACCGTGGTTATACCGACGTAACCTTTATAAAATCTAACTAAAGCTAGAATTTCCTATCGAGAAATTATGTTTGAAAATTTGTCTCAACGATCCGGCATAGGCACAAATAACCTCCGAGATTCAGCTTTGACCCTAAAGCACCCCTATTTACACCAATGTGTCGCATGAACATTTATCTGTGAAATCCAGGAAGATTCCAAAACCGCGCGATCCGGCAGTGATAAGCACAGACTTTTTTGTTTACAGTTACTTAGTTATTATGAAACGGTCGTCGAGTCCGTCACCAGTCTCCATGGCACGATACTCGTTCCGTTTACGCGTTGCTTTTCGTTCTCCTACTTTGTAAGCTAGCATACACATAGTGATGTTCAATGCGACGAAATACTGACCCATAAGTTTACAACTAACTGTTCTTGCTTGGCAATTCGCTAGTGCGTATTATATAGAATTGTGCTTTGGAAAAACGAGTATTGATAAACTCCGAATCGCGGACGCATGAATCCTGTTTTTAGAGGTTTATTATTTTAGATACATGTCTTTACGCCCTTCCGATGCGTCAAAGTAGGATGTACAGTTTCCTATATTATAATACACATGTTCTTTGTATAGGCACAAACAGCAGTGGACATCTCAACTACCATTGTTTAAAAATAATAATATATTGTAAATATTGTAATAACTAATGAGCAAGGCCGCAAGGAGAAAATAACTGTACCATTTGTATTTTGGTTCGAGGCACTGCCGGCCCGAACATTTTTGGTATATTCTAACGAATACCAAAGGTTGTTTAGATATTATCATTATTGTTGTTTGTTGCAAAAATGTGGCCGTCACATCGGCATGCATCCCGAATTACTCATGATGCACGTTGCATTAAATAAATGGTATATTAATAATTAATAAATGTATTTTGTATTTGTAAATATACTAGAAACAGAACCAGTACGGCTGTACAGAACCTACATTCTACCGTTCATATACCTCAATGTCTGTATTTAACATGGGTAGAAATAATAAATTAAAATATACGACAGTATATTATTAATTACGATTTCTGTTGAACGAATTACAAAACAAAACAAAACATATAATTCAGGAGCATCCGTGCATAACTTATAATGTCCTATTTAAAATTGACAAAATAGTAGATGATATGAGTAGGAGGTATACGTCTAAACAATAAGATGGATCGAAATACCTTTAAACATTTTGTGGTCATGAGTTTAAGTATAACGGGGTAAATTTTAGGTTGGTACCTAATAATACTCGGTCCCAGCAATTTATTCAAAAATGTTGTTTTTATTTAGTAATTGTTCGGTACAGAGTATCCATATATTAATAATATATGTGTTATCAATATTCAATGCACTGTAGTACCTATATAGTCTCAATTTCAAAGATTGGCATAACTGTTTCAATATATAATTATTTTTATTATAGTAATATAGTATGTGTATTGTCACTATTGTGTATACAGTATTGGCAAATGGCAATCGTATCCCGTAGTCCACTGCGATAGTTATGGTAGTTGACAACCCACAAAATCCTAACAAAAAAGCGTTGTTTTATACTATTATTTTTATGTGTATTGGGTAATGAAAATACTATTGATTAATTATCATTATTGACTCTCTAGCCACTTGCGGCATGAACTATATTCAATATCGTTGTAGATTCCAGAACCGTTCTGCAAGTTATGTTATTTGGTCAAGCAGCAGAGAGAAGTAGTTTGTTAAAAGTAAGACGTGATTAGCTTATCAGCACCGCTGAAATAATTGATAAATACACATTGTTAAATGTTATGTTAGGTTAGTATAAATGTACCCCTCTATATACAGTACTATTTGGCATTTGCTTTGTCGGAGTTCAACTTTTCCGGTAACTAGTTTAGACTTAAGACATTGAAAATCATTATATATCATTAACTATAGTTTATTATAAACTATTAATTCATGCCTTGTTATTAGTCAAACCATACTATAGTTTATGACATACTATGATTTTTAATGTCTATAAAGTCTAAACTAGTTGTCGGAAAAGTTGAACTTCGACAAAGCAAATGCCAATCAGTACTGTATAGAGGGGTACATTTATACAAACCTAACATACCATTTAACAATGTGTATTTATCAATTATGTCAGCGGTGCTGATAAGTTAATCACGTCTTATTTTAAACAAACTATACTTCTCTTGGCTGCTTGACCAAATAACATAAAATCTACAACAATATTGAACGTAGTTCATGATGCAAGTAGTAAGAGAGTAAATAATAATAATTTATCAATAGTATTTTAATTACCCAAAGCACATAAAAATAATAGTATAAAACAATAGGTGATTTTTACACTTTTTTTTGTCAAATGGAATTTAACAAGTTTAAATTTTTATATCGTGGGTTTCAAATCTGACCGGCTACACTCTCCTAACCACCGACGGGCTTCAAGTCCTCCAGGTTCTTGATAACGGCATCGGTAAATTGCGAGCAGGACACGTTGCCACCCATATCCTGGGTACGGACGCCAAGCCGGATAGTGTTTTCCAGGGCCGTAGCAATGCAGCGCCCAGCGACCACCATGCCAGCGTGATCTAACATCCACGCGGCTGCTCTAATGATGCCCGTCGGGTTGATGATCGGTTGACGGCCGCAAACCATTTTGTTGACAATCCTAGCACCGCCATCACTATGACCGTAGTGGCTGTAACCGTAGTCACTCATGGTGCTGAACACGGTCGCCTTTGGCCCGTATGCAACCGTCGGCACCGTAGCCAGGCCACCTGACATCGTGCCGCACACAGCACTGGCCACCGCGCCATAAAGGCTGGTCGTGAGCAGCACGTCGTACCGGCCGGGATTAGAGGTCACTTGAAGGCAGAACGAGTCGAGTTTCTCCTCTTGGTATTCCACATCCGGGAAGCAGGCGCTCACCTCTCGGCAGGCCCTCAAGAACATGCCGTCAGTGAGCATCATCACGTCCGCCTTGTGAAGTACCGTGATCCGGGAGTGGCCGTACTTGCAGGCGTAGTCGAACGCCAACTTGGCCACGTCCGTGGAGCTTTTCTTCGACACCGTCTTGATGGACTGCACGACGCCTGGGTGTTTAGCATTATATCATGACCGTGTCGTTACCATATTTTATTATATTATATGAACACCCGCGGTAAACGGGCATTATATTAAATATCATTCATCTGTCGTACTAAGTAACGACTGACTGACGAGACCGCACCGTTGTCATTCTTGCATATAATGCTACCCATATAATATAAGGTACCTATGCGTTTTATATTTATCATCGTTATACAACGCGTTTCGCCGAACCGCCGGCACCCCGACCGTTCGTTACTATTTCGTCGCGCCCCTTATTTATACATTGTACACTGACGAACCCAACTACATTGTACATTATAAAATATTATATATTTATGAGTGCGTACTACCCCGCGCAGGTTTTCATTGATGTGAACACCCTCCCACCCCAACCGGAAACTAACTGTTTTGCGTGTCTCTGAGGACCCTTCACGCTTACACGAGTATCTCTTAGTCGGAGGGTTACCGAATGCAACGTACCGTGATTACAAGAATAAGTTTAAAACCACGCACTGTCGTATATTTCGTACAGTGTTCACTATTCACTGACGCTACAGGTTAGGTTAGGTAATAATGTTATATAGATAATGTAATATAATATACTTATTATATACATTATAATATCATTAAGAGAAACACTTGTAACATAATATGACCAAAATGCGTGTAGTATAGATATTTTAAAATCAAACTCCTGAATTTAATCGTCTTATATCATTAAAGTAGCAACGTATCAACCGCATAATTTTATAATTTAAGCAAAATATTAATTCTAATACATAGAGGATTGAATTACCTTTTGTATGCAGTAAATGAAGTACGTCGTGCTGTAGGGCCATAGCAGTTGTCAAGGTTGTTATATAGAAGAAAATACAGCGTACACAACTAAGGCTTCGACGAACTTACAGATTTTTTATGAAAATCCAGACTAATAATAAATTATTATAGATACTCGACTAATCATATTATTTGGGATATTAGTGGGTTATACAATTCTCATAACACACTGCATAATATATTAGTGTATACAATTGTGCGTTAATAAATTGTACGTTACATACAGATAGAAACAAATTGAAGAATTATTGTAAGTACAGATAATATTATACATAGATATTTCGATAACACTTAAACGTACACAAGACGTATTGTTTTTTTTTTTTTTAATTTAAAATATTTGATTAGACTCTATAAATCCATCATTCTATTATAATATTAAATTGACGTTTTATTTTCCATAGTTCAACCGATTTCGTTTATGAAATGCACCCCTATATCGTTTGTTTTGAATTAAACAATACACGTTTGTGAATTTATAATGAAACAATTGGACTAAAAGCTTAGAATTTTATCACCAATTCGATGACCTCGGTGGTCTTTACACGCGTTCACATTTCAATGTTGGTAAAACATTATAAACCAGTTTAAAAATAAATAAATATTTTCCCCTCACTAGGCACGGTAAAAGTTATGCAAATATGAAAAACGCCCTGTCTAAAATCGTAATATGCGTATACATAACGGAGACGCAGATTACTGTAAGATTTGCGTTCACGCACTGAATTCGACAATAAATATGTAAATCTATATTTTTTCGTGTACAATATTATTAAAATATGTGAAAAATTTAAATCGTATGATTTTTTTTTTAAGACCATATTATGTATATACATATGTATATGTCGAGCTGCGGTTACGTGTTATTCTACGTTTTCTATAATATACTAAAAATAACGTTACAGATTAATTTATTGTTTATAATAAAACGCTTTTGCACTAAGCCACACCCTGGCTGAACAATATTTAGTGGCTGTATGTTAAAACTTATAATACATAAACCGAATGAATTCGTAGGTTTTATTTGGAAATCTTAATAAATATCGAATTTGTTTTTATTAACACAATAACACATAATGGGAAATGGTGACTATGATAACAGTGAATTGTGTATAGAAGTTTAGAAAAACACAAATGTAGAATGTTTAAAAAATTAGTTATTTATTAAACTTTGTCACTGGTGATAAACGATTGCTAGGGTCGGGGACACTCTTTAATCGCGCTATCTTCTGTTACAAGTGTTTTCGCCGTTCGTTTAAAACTAACCCCAAATTATATCCGTCGTTCCCTCGGGTATTCCAATTATAAATTAAAGTAAAACAAACTTGTAAAATAAAACTATCATTAATTTTTAACGTTAAAGCAATATTTTCAAAAACTTTTGTTCCTTCTGCATGAATAGGAATTTATTGTTGTATTATAATTCTTAATAAAAATAATAATAAAATAGAAAAATAAAACAATAAAAATTACTCGTATACAAGTAAACTTACTCTAAAAATGTTTATCTTCAAAATAAATGTTCAATACAAAAGGCTGCCAAAAGCAATAAGTTCCGCGCATAAATGAATAATAGTTTGAACCAATCCAAATCACAAAAGAAATTTATTGAACGTTATTTTTCATCAAAAACAACGATTAAAACATTTTGCATAAAATGCAGGTAAATCAATCAATCTTCATAGGTACGAAAAAAAACTGAAAATAAAATCTAATATCCTTCACAGGTACAGCAATCTGAGCAATCTGTATTGGTATGAAAATTATGGATTATTCCACAATAACTTTTATAAATCACCATTTTGTCATTATTTATAGTTAAGTCTAATCATTTAGAGAATGAGAACCAACTTTTGTAATATTCAACATATTTTGTATTCACAAAAGTATTATCGATTTTAAATGACATGACATCATATAATATTATGTAGTGGCAGACGTGACCATTACGATTCTCCTTTTCTGTTTTTGATGTTTTCGATGATTAATACGTTTTCGTGTACTTCTTTAAAGACTATTATTCATTTCTCTTACCAGATCGTTCCATTACCTTTCATCCAGACCCACGTCTCAGAAACATCCAATTTTTCATATCTCATTACAAAGTTTTAACACTGATGGACCCACCTGCACCTTTTGGCCAAATTATTTTCAGCCGAAAATTATGTTTAACGTTTTTATACGGAATAGTAAACGCATGAACTATTTATGAGTTTATGACCAGCGAACGGTAGTACAAACGGAAATGAACATATCGAGTATTTTTATTCGTGTGCAAGATCAATAATTGTAGAAGATTTAAATCAGCATTAATCAGGTATGTATCAATCTCGCGCTGCAGCTTCTAGCTACGAGGAATAGTAGATTTAATAGGTATAAGCAAGCAGAATGCATTAAAAATACAACATTTTTTTTAAAATTCAGACGGTTTGACGAGTATATAGTTACTCGTATAACCAAATAAATACATTTCATTAAGGTCTAATAACTGTAATATATGTACCGTATATATAAAATGTCTGTAATAATTTAAACGTGTGTATACTCTGTTTAAAAATATAAATCCAAAAATCCTGATTATCCGGCTTCATAAATTATATGAAATTCAGATTTGACAAAGATAGATTAACCAGTTGACGGCGATGTTTGTATATACGGCGGGTGAGCTGTAGTTGCGGGGTCGAAATATCATATATATATTTTATAATTTACAGCCGCGGAGGACAGGGTCGGTTTATTATGAAATGTATATTAACGAATACACCTAGTGCGGGCTAGTACCTACCCATCTAATAATATTACTCGAGAGAGAGAGAGAACCTTTAGGTAACTATAGGTTTGTAGGTAATGACGATGACGTGACGATGGACGACGTAAATGTATCTACGTAACGGTGCGCAAAGACGACGATCGTTATATTATTACCCGGGGAGACGATGTGCTCGATTTCAGAGTATTCGCCGCTCACGTTGTCCCGGATGTTTATCACGTTGACGGGGCCGTACGGCTCGTGGCCGACGGCGGAATTGAACTTGCGCACGCCGACAAACGCGTTGAGCGCCTTGTTGAGCGCCAACGAGCCCGACCATTCCGAGTCGTTGTGCCCCACTGCCGAGTCCCTGGCGCACAGCACGAGTCCCGTCTCGTCCGCGGAACTGAGCAGCTGGGGATTGACGGTCATCCGGTTGGTCTTCTGGTCGCGGTACACGCTCAGCGTCTGGTAGTCCCATTCCACCGGCACCTGGGCCGCTTTGAAAATTTTCCTCACCGCCGCGCACACCACCGGCCCTGCGCCCTGGCCCTCGATCACCGTCACGCGAACGGGAGGCTGCTTTTTGCCGGTGCCGGCACTGCTCACACGATTCGCACACAGTTCGGGCAACAGTCCGCATTTCACATTTCCCCACAACACTTTGACCAAAGACGGTGCGCTGCACATTTCGCACACTTGTGTTTTTGACGATGTCAAATACGAAAATCCCAAAACCTCTTTTAATAATATAATTCAATAATATTATTACGTCCAGTAACTATATATATTATAATAATATGTGGTTTGTGTTGAGGTAACGACAAAAACTACATAACGACAGACGTCTAGACGACGATAGACTTTATTATTAATATTAAATCGTCATCGCCGAGCTTAATAAAAACTACACATTAATGGATAAAAACAACAACGATTATACTTTCAATATGATATAATTTTAAACAAACTACGCGTTTTTTTTTTCAAAAGGTAAAACCTGCAGTTGTTTCAATTGCGAGCAATTATAAAAACCCCCGATTTACCCAAATGACTGACAAGTATTAAAGTCAGTAGCGAGTCTGGTAATCTGCAGGTTGATTCTAGGTGTGTAGTAATTTCATCGTAATAATGGAATTTAAATGTTAAATAATTAAAAACAAAATACGTTTTAAAATAAAATAAATGTAAACGCGCTCGAATAATGTTTTGCCGGTTGCTTAATAGAAGTGTACTAATTTATAGAACCGTTCTGTTGTACATAAATCAAGAGAGATTACTGGATAAAAATAAAATGCTAACACTTAGATTTATGAGGTCAAAGGACAAATTCAAAAAAAAATCTCATTCAGAAACAAATAATAAAGCATTTTATTGGCGTTTACCATAAAAATGTATTTACGTATTTCAATGAGTTATTATTATGGGATAAGGACGTTAAATGCTATTAAATCAACGTTAGCTTTTACGTAATCGATAACGTATGTGTAGTACGTCAATAAATGGGCTCCCCTTCTCGTAGATTTCTGATTTATAGGGAAAATAAATTTTCAATATTAGGTACATTGCTGTTGGTCACCACAGTCAGGTAATTAAGACACCCGTCATCCTTGTATTATGTAGTTACTAATAACTTGAGTGAATATTAAACAGACAACAATGTGTATAAGTACAATAACATGTTCATAATGCGTAAATATGTAACATAAGCACAAGGAGAATGAAGATTTTTTTCTCTTTTGTGCCATTTAATTCGATAAATCAAAAATATACAAGTTAAACTCACTTATGACGATAAACGTATACATAATTACGCTACTGTATGACTACACCATAACTCAAAAATCTCACTGGTCAAAAGTTGAAAAGTGCACTTTTGAAAAACATAAATTATGGGTACTTACGACGAGTGACTAATAGATACCCTTAACTTTTTCATAATCACGATCACCGAATAACATCGGCTTATAAAACTATAATAATATAACAATATAGGTGTTTAAATAATTATAATATATAAAATACGAACACAATGTGCACAATTTGTTTAAGTTAAAGTATAATTTATAATGATTACTAGCTAGGTATCTTTATGATATTATATAAGGCTTATATTGTGAGAACTAATAGTAATTTATGTACATATATAATTGCTAATTAATATTTAATACTATTTACCTAAAATATTTCTGCTCAAGACCTATAATGTAAAAATGTTTACAATCGGTTTTCCTTTTTTGTTTAACTATGATCAAAATACTACTAATGCTAGAACTTATAACCAATGATTTATGATTGTGCGTTTTTACTTTGTTTTCGCAACAAAACTACCTACGCGTATTTACGATTTTAGATTTGAACTATGCTTGGCCGCACTCAAAATTAATTTGTATACTGCAGCGTACAGAATACTTCTTAAGCAAACAACTCAAAAACGTCAAGAAATAGTTCTCTATGATTCATTGTATAACACTAATAAAATATTAACAAAATTACATTTCCGAGAGTTCAAAAAAAAGTTTTTAAACTAAAAAAAAACATGTAGGTATATACAATGTAGGTACTTATTCAGTAAACTTTAATTTTAATATTTTACCGTTTAGGTTTTAGCCTAGGTATGTGTGTTTATTTATATGATATTTAATATTGTTATCCAGAGTAATTGTATTTCTATGCTAATAGTGAATGTTAGGTATACTTTTTTAATATTAAATTATAATAAACAATAAACATTAAAATTCTACCATTTTAGAAACGTGAAATTTGAAAAATATACATTCTCTTACTGTACATTGTACTGTATTTTATAGTATATTATTATGTTAGACATTTTAAATTTTATTACTTGGATATCACGTGACTTTTTTGAAATTGATTAAACTAACATTACTTTCAGGATAAACAATCTAGTGAGCGTAATTGAATCTGAAAAAAAGACGAGCTCCACCACTAAAATAATGGCTAGAAACTGTTGATAAAACAAATGTAGTCCCTAAGAGTAGGAACACTGTATCCGACTGTTTTATAAACGATCGAATATTTCTCACGGGTCTTGACAGCCACAGGAACCACTAACATTTGCTACCGTTGAAATACGACTTTTCATCGAATTAAATTCTTCTATTTACGAAATTGGCACAATTTTGAACAAAATAATTTTACAATGACACTCTTAATCTTTTCTATAAAATGTTAGAAATTCAAAAAAAAAGTGTCGTAGAAACATAATTGTTCAAAAACGTTAATGAGAAAAGAGAATAAATTAAATTAAATAAATAAATAAATAAATAAAATTAATTAAATAAAATTTATTTATTCCATTACTATTATCTTCATTATTCGATATCAAGATGAATTATATTAATTACCATGGATTTGGCCACTTAAGTTATTAAAAAAATTAACGCGCAAGCTATTATAGAAGTTGTTGATTATAATATTAAAAGTTAATTTTATAAATATTTAAACACCTGAGTGATAAAATAATACGTTGAAAGTTATCTGAAAATATTTATGTTTGTAATCACTAATTACCATAAAACAGGGAAACTTTTCATTAGTATTTAATACATTTTCCTTCGTATCAGCTGTAAAATATAATTTGTATACCAACTTTTTTGTCCTCTGGTGTTTTAAATTTTTCATAATCCATTTTCTCATAGTATTAAAATCACATCAAGTCCCCCACAGATTATAAAAATAAAAATAAAAAACCTGGAGCGCTTACTTCTCTCTTCTTTTGTAAGCAGTCTTCGTCCTTAATGAAATTATTACAATAACTATATCCTCTATAAAAGAATTATTCTTATATTGTCTTATGCGAGCAAAAAATATTATTACTATTATTATTATTGTTGCATCTACTATACTGGCGCCGCCCATGTATCTCATGATGTTGGATATTGTTAAATGAATCTTATAGGGGTGAAATCTCATGTGTCATTTGTAATATATAACTTGAGTGATATTGAGAAGGTCGAGAGACAATTTGTAAGTATGGAAATAAATATGAATTTTTTTTTTCATTAATGAGAACTGTTGACAAATAGAACCGTTATGCAAATATAGTCGTGTCACCGCCCCATACTGCAACACAGACGTGTTGTCTGGTAGACTGTTGTGAAAAAAGACACGACGAATAAAAACGAACGATTGTATCATTTTCGGTTTATTTAATTCTTTATTATTATTATTACTTTTTTTTTTTCGTAATAATGATATAATGCTACTGTATACAAAGAACAGGAAACTATACTGGTTTCAAAGGCTTGCCCCGTATAAGAATTTCCGTTTTATATATCCCATCTCCATGTGATACATTGGGGATTTTATACTCACTAACATGTCAGTCGATCATTTGTAATGAAATTATATTGTGAAATATTAAATTTTTTTAAATAATAATAGTAATAATAAACGTTCGTTGTCATCTTATATTTACTTTATGTATATACTTCGATTCTACGTCAGATCTTCTTCAACAACGATATTATGAACGTGATCTTCAAAATACGAATATAATATAATATATATATATATTAACCACAGCAGTTATGAGCATCAGTACGTGAACCCTAACTTTACCTAATCTACAACATTGAACTTATAATTTGACAGCAAAATTGAATTAGGTACCATTTAAATTCTCGACTTCTATATGATTGCTTATGTCAGTAAATTAATCCCGGTTATCTTACTAAATATCTCTTTGAAACTTGTGTTACACAATATTATAATATAATATGTGTATCACTAATTACAGTTCGCTGTAATCGTCAGTCGGTTGATATGATATTGTACGCAGTGCGAACTCACGACCCTTAAATTAACGGTTCGATTTCGCCGTCGACGAGAGTAATATCGAGGTTTGGATATTATTAGGTACCTTGGTATAATAATAATATGATTATACCGAGCGGTGAAAAGCCCGGTTGATGTCGTGATACTCGCACGCGGGAAAAAAAATAAGTACCCAATAAAAAAGCAAATTATACTATAAATAATATAAATTCGTAATCTCGCGGAGAGGCCGCCGTCACGGAGTCGTAAAACCAGATGGGCGGGGNGGGGGGGGGGGGGAAGGACGAAATCGAAACGGACCACGCAGAGGTATATTGTGTACATACACATTATAGACGATACCGTATAATATTGTATTATAATAATATAATGTACCGTATAAGCGGCGTGGTTCCTATTGTACGCGTCCGGTTTACCTAACGTAACCGACTGTAACCATTCGGTGACAGCAGCAGTGGACGATTAAAGCTCGGGCCCACGTATACAAATAATTATCAACCGGGAGCAAAAAAATCGTTGGTTGTGCAGCGGCGGAGGATTTACCGCATGGGATTAAGTGTACGCAGCGTGAAAGGGAGGGGAATAGAGGACCACGACCGCTGTGGACTATATTATGGACATATGTTATTAGAACTGCAGCGATTTTATAATATATACCTGCCCGTATCATGTACGATAATAATACAGATGCAATATTGTATTTTATTGTAAATTATAATGTACACTGGCAGCTCGCAAACATAATAATTGGAGGTGACGGCAGATATTTTGAAAACTTCTGTGAGAACTTTTATTATTTTTTAATCGTGACTGCACCAAAACGCATAACCTGCGTCATGATCTATCATCGTTTTGTATTGGGCTCGTCCCGTTTCATAACAATAATTAGGCGATAGATAAACAATATTATATTGAAAATGTTAAATTAATAAATACACTATTATGTGATATGAATTGTTCGAATTTCAGTTACCTATATTGTACAGTTACACCGATTTTATTTCGGAGATATTGTGTCTTTTAATATCACCAACTGATCGAAAACTATTAACGTTTATCTATGACTCTTTGAGGTAATATTTTTTCTGTTTCATCACATATTTTCGACCCTCTCTTATTTGTATTTGTTCTCGTCAACAGAGGAAAGATATTTTTCGTCTCACTCGTGGTGGGAGATGGTAATGGGCCGCACCACGACAAGCAACGACGGGTTCAGAGTTGTTGATATCATTTTCCGGATTGATTTATTAGTTAAGAGGACGTGTCACGAA